GCAAGAGGGAGAGAAGCTTATGCTATGGCATGTAAAAAGGGGAGAGGGAGAGGGAGAGGGAGAGGGAGTGGGAGAGGGAGAGAGAGAGAGAGAGAGAGAGAGAGAGAGAGAGAGAGAGAGAGAGAAACTGGTGCTCAGCTGGCTTCCTCTTTTCTTGTTTAGTCTGGGACCCCTGCCTGTGGGATGGTAGCACTCACATTCAGGGTGGATCTTCCCTCTACAGTTAAACTTCTCTGGAAGGTGCTCACAGAGACTATAGATAATTAAAAACTCAAGTTGGTAATCAAGATTAGCCATCACAGTGCCCCCTGAGAATCGCTTCCATGGCATGGAAGAGGCTGCGGCCAGACTGAGGTAGATTGAGGAGTGCAGCAGGTGTCAATGACGCTTGTAAAAAGTTTGACTGCAAAGAGGAACAAAGAAGTGCTGGTGGCCAATAGGGACGTGGAGCTAGGGATATAGAGTCAAGGTTAGACTATAAGAGGGTGGAGGGGTGATGACATCTGGGACTGTACTTTCATGAGGAAGGAGGAGAGACAGTCATCTGCTGAGGGAAAGAGGGGATATTGAGGAAAAAGAAATCAATGAGAAATGGTCACAGAGGGCTCTGCAGGACTGCTGGGAAGACTGGCCAGCACAGCTGAAAATCAGGTTGAGGCTGAGTGGAGACCTTGAGCCTGAGGAGGTCTCAGTCTGCACGGTTGCCTGATTTTCTACCCTGAGCCTCGCGAGAGCTGCCTGAGAGTAGAGGTATACAACAGGTAGCTCTTCAGTTTGAGCCGGGCTAGGTAGGTATAATATGACAAAGGCTATGTGATGGTTAATCCGGTCAACTTTACTGGATTGTGAAATCTAAAATAATAATGATAATTGACAATAATAAGAATATTGAGACAGAATCCCACTATATAGCCCTGGATGACCTGGAACATGCTACGTAGACCAGGCTGGCCTTGAACTCACAGAGATATGCCTGCCTCTGCCTCCAAGTGATGGGATTAAAAGTATGTGCCACTCTGCCTTGCAACATCTAGGATATCTAGGATCTGGGTTCGTCTGTGAGAATGTTTCCAAAGATGATTAACTAAGTAAGGGTCAGGAGGACTTTCCCTAAATATGAGTGGCGCATCCCATAGGCTGGGGGCCCAGAAGGAACAAGAGAGGTTGAAGGAGGAAGCCTGTTAGCCCCTCTCTCTCTCTGTTTCCTGGCTGCCAGGAAATGAACAGCTGTCCTGTCACATGCTCCTATCATGATGTTCTGCCTCACCACAAGCCCAGAAACAACAGAGACCAGAGATGGGGGACTGAAACCTCTGGCACATGAGACAAAATCAAATTTTCCTATGTTGAGCTGTTTCTCTTGGGTATTTGTTACAGTGATGAAATTTTAAACACAGACTTCTCAGTAAGTGGAGGAGCTTGGTCCAGATAGCTCCTCACCTGTACCTATGACTCAGCCTAAGTTAGGATGACTGTCCATCTCACCTCATTTGTGCTTCTGTGCACAAATGGGAACATGGGCTTACAGTCTTCCAAGCCACCTTCATACCTTATACCCTTAGGATGGCTACTATCTAAAAGTGGAGAATAACAAGTATTGGTGAAGATATGGGAAAATGAAGCACTTGTGCACTATTGGCAGAGGTGTAAAATGATGCCGCTGCTGTGAAAAATACTATGGCAAGTCCTCCAACTATTAAAAATAAAATTACCATGTGATCCAGCAATTTCACTTTTGGAAATATACCTCAAAGAATTGAAAGCAGGGTCTCAGAGATATTTATTCATGGCAGCAATATAGAAGTCACCCCAAGGGTCCACTGGCAGATGAATGGATCTACAAAACATACATACATACATACATACATACATATGTATATATGTATGAATATTCTAAAAGGAAGGAAATTCTAACACAAGGGTAAAGTCTGAGAACATCATTCTCATTGAAATAAGCCAGCCACAGAAACACAAATATTATTATGATTTCACTTAAAAGAGATACCTGGAGTGGTCAAATTCAAAGACAGAGAGTAGAATGGTGGCTGCCAAGGGCTAGAGGAGAGGGAGAGGGCGTTGTCCAATGTGTGGAGTTGCTATTTTGGAAGAGCTTTGGGGGGCAGATGGCAGTGATACTGCACAACATGAGGGGATGGGGTTGCTTCCCTCTGTTACCTCATGACCTGGAACAGGCCCCTTGCACTCTGACCTTGGCGCCCTTTTAGAATACTTAGAATATTCACTCATTTAAGGTCTCCTCCAGCCCTAACAGGGATATCACCAAGCTCCAGGGACAGGAATGCAGGGCAGATGAGTCTCTGGGTGCCTCCTCAATAGGGTCCCTAAGGTCCTTTTGTTTCCTAGAGAAAAAGATCCATTCCTACCTATAGTGCTTCCCTCAGTAGGAAAAGGTCCTGCTGACAAGACCTGACTTGGCCTGAGCCCTGTAAACCGGGACTCTTCATCTGGATTTCAAGGCTTCAGAAAGGGCGGGGTTGGATGTGGTGGGAAAACCCCGGGACATGCAGCCAGAGCCAAGAGTGGCTTTACTCCTTTATAATATGCTTAGGCTCATTCTATGTTTCCTGTGCTTGTTCTTCCTTCCTCCAGGAAGCCCTCTAGCTGCCAAGTGGGTCCCACTGAGAGCTCTTATAGTCCTTTCCTGGCTGCTTCCTATATACCCTGGGCATACCCGGTGAGCTGAATCAAATCAAGGGCTTCTGCCTTGCGGACACTTAATTTTATTCTAATTGAGAGAAACCTTGCAGAGGGCCAATTGAATGGTAGAGCCAGGCTTCTGACAGTCTTCTCCTTGGAGTTCAGACTAGGAAATGAGGCATGCATATCAGAACAGACCAGAAAAGGGGGCATACTTCAGTGTGATACCGCCGCATGCGGCACACCCACAGAATGGTATACTCACACCACAGTAACGGGGCAGATGTGAATTCTGAACTAGAACCCTAGAAGGCTTCTTTCTCCCTCTCTCCCTCTTTTCTCCCCCAGACCCATCCCTCTCCCTCCCCCCTCCCCTCTCCCCACTTCTGCCATTTAATTATGGCCACAGGGCCTAATCTATCAGGCCAAGGCAGAATAGCTAGAACATGTTCCTGGCTATTTTAGGAGACATACTACCGATTTTAACCACCTGATAGCAATGACGTGGGGATAACCCTGGGTGCTAGGGAAAGACCACTGGCTTATTGAACTGAACTTCCAGAGGGCAGCTACAGACTAATAAACCAAGTGTGGTGGTCCTTCTGAGCACCAACTGGTGCTGCTGCATAGGCCTCACATACACAAAGCTGGCCTTGCTCTGGGACATCCAGGACTTACCTCAGCCTTTAAGTCCCTGGGGACTAGGGAGAAGCAGGCCCCCATAGTCTGAGGTTGGTTGTTCAGGACAGCACTGCCAGGCATCCCCCTCAAAGATTCTCTTTCTCTGTCTCTCTCTTCTTCCTCCCCTCCCTCCCTCCTCCCTTCCTCCCTCCTTTCCTTCCTTCCATCTTTCCTTCCTTTTTGTGTGTTTGTGTGTATAGTACATGGTGCATTCATGCAAGAATGATGGTGTGTGTGACTGTGGAGGCCAGAGCAGGATTCTGGGTGTCTTCTAAAGATCTCTGAGACCTTATTGCCTTGAGGCAGGAACTGGAAGCTCACCACTTTGGCTAGGCTGTCTGGTCAGCAAGCTTTCAGGATCTGCCTATCTCTACACCTCTACCACCACCACAATGCTGGGGTTACAGGCACACACAACCATACCTGATTTTTACATGGGTGCTGGGGATTTGAACTTAGGTCACGTGCTTGCAAAGCAAGCACTCTTACCCACTAAACCATCTCCTCAGTCCCTCTCAGAGATTTTCTACTGGTTTGCCTTTTTTTTTCAGGATCCTGCTGACTGTACTCACAATACTTAGAAAAATTATATTTTCAGAGAAAGCCACTAGGGTATCATTTCTGCAGAAACAGGTGTACAGTTTCCCAATTGTTTGGCAGTTTATCTCAGGAAGGGGGAGCTCCTTCAGGAAGCAAACACAGGGAATTCAAGCTCTGAAAATTTAGCTTAGCTATGGTTTTTCCTTTGCTTCTAAAATACACTGCAGTCCTTTCTTTTTTGCGTTCAAAGCAGCCAGCATGATCTAAAATGTTTACAGGCACCTGGGGTCATTGCCAAGTACTGGCTCCTAAGGTCCTGGCCAGTGTTTACAATGCTGTGTCTAAGAGCCACAGGATGGAACTGGGGAAAGCTTAGGTGAGAGTCAGAAGTCTAAGCCACTGTGTGACCCAAGGGCCTGTTTCTGCCCTTCTGTGGCCTTCAACATTCCAACCTTCCACCACTGAAAAATGGGTCATCAAACTGTTGTCACCCTTGCTCCTATCCAGCTGGAACATCCCACCATTCTATTGCAGAGTATATTTGTAAGAGACTAGGCTAATGAGAAGTTAATTGGGAAACAAAGCCACTGATCTGACAGGCTAAGTAGGAGGAGATAAAGGAAGAGCATACCAAATAGTTCTCACTGGACAGTGAGGGAGCTCACGTGTGCAAACATCTAGCTGGATTCTGCTCAGTTCCTACATATTCAAATGTCACTATGCACAGAGTGCTTTGATAAAGGCAAAGTGTGGTCCAAGTTCATCCCTTATAGATTCTGTGACCTTGGGTTCATTCCTAGATCTCTGTGGTCTCCTGTTTCCTAGGTATATAGAGAGTGAGTTAGATCGGCCATTAGGGACCATTTCAGTCCTAAGACAAATTTTATTATTATCTAAGTTCCAAGCAAATGTCACAAAAGACATCAGCTACAGGCATTTTTCTGTACTCATTCCTTTTCTGAGGAAATCATGTTTGGGTTGAAAAACAGCCTGAGTGGCCTAATGTGCCTTTTGGCCTCTTGCTGTTCAGTAATTCTTACCTCTGCTTGCTGCTTCTTTGGAGTTACCCATGGAAACACAGGGAGTTATGCAAGAGGCTCTCAAGCCATGCCAGAACCTACCCTTCTCTTTGGTACTCTTCATCTAGATTCGACAGGAGCTGTGAGCCCCCTGTGGAGAGGTCTATAGCAGCCAGGGGCAAGTCTCGATAGGTAAAGTTCATCAGCTGCATGGGAGCAATGCTCTTGGTTTCTTCATCTACTTGTTGGGAGATGATCTCAACTTCAGAAATTCCTCCTTCAATGGCAGGCCTGGTTGGAGAGAAGGAGTGACAGGGAAGAGTTAGCCCCTAAGACCAAAATACTTCTTCCATTTGTCAAAAGGGGTTGAAAGCATGGGATCTGGGATGTGCTGATGGAAGGCAGAGGAAGCACAAGGTTGCCATTCTTCCCCACTGGCCAGCTAGGGACTGGCCCAAAGTCCTGGTCAGTCACCTCCTCCTCATCAGGTGGGGTGAATGGAAGAACTTGAACATAAGAGCTTTGGGGAGCAGGTCCTTCATCGAGGGGAAGGACCAACCAGGCTTTTAGGATTCTGTGTCACTATACTTTATCTTACAGTCATGCTTTAGATCATTTCACAGGATCTTTGTTAAAGGTTCTTTGTGGTTGTTCCATCATCTGTATCACAATAGAGAAAAGGTGCTTTTGTTCAGTGGACATACTGCAGAGAGCCAGGAGCTTCCTAGGAGACTTGGAGATATTGTTGGCCTTGGGTGTTGAGAAGAGTCAAGGACAGCTAAGACGCTGTTCCCTTTCCACTTGGACTGGTCCTATCATATCTCCCTTTTCAAGGTCAGTAAGTAGGAAGCTGGGGGCCACCTGAACAAGTTGAGGAATTTGGTCAATCTATGTCACTGGCAGACATATCTTGGGCACTGTAAGAACCAATAGCTTCACTGGCACACAGCACACCTCAGTCAAGGGCAGTAACACCTCCCAACCCACCAGGAAATATTTGTCAACTTATGGAGGCATATTTAATGCCACTGGTATCTAAGTTAGAGGTAGGGATATTCCACATCCTGCAAGATGTCTAACAGTTGTGCACCGTGCTACCAAACATCTCCTTATGGGAGATGCTGGGCTGGAGACTTTGCCTTTCTCTTCCTGGGGTGTGGTCTTTGGTGTCCCCCTCAAACATAATCCTGTAGAATCTGAGAGGCTGAATCTTCTTCCAGTCAAACCACAAGGATAGGAAAGAAAAATAATGTGCATGGAGCAGAGTAAATTAAATATCTGGGGAAAAAATGAAGGTCAGTGTCCAGGGAATAGAGGCCAGTGACAACACTGAGGTGGCAGCCAGTCTGCTGTAGACTATTACTGGGCTCTGGTGCCACTTTCTGGGAGTTCTTTCCAGGCCTCAGTTTCCCTAACTGAAGCATGAGGAAATGAAACAGAGGCTTCCTGAGGGCTGCCCTCTCTCACTCCATGGTCTGATATGGCTAGGGGAAACATGGAGCAGGGGAGGGCAGGTCTGGAGTGACAAGCCCCACTTTTTCTTGGATGGGGAAACTATAAATTCCAAACTTTTCTAACAAACATTGAAATCTAATCAGTAACAGAGTGGCAGTCATTCAGGAAGTACAGAGCTGAATCTGCATGCTTCTCCTTTGCTAGGATGATTCAAGGGTCATAGGTAGGCTACCTAGGCTACCTGAATCCACCAAGCAATCCCCAGTGCCCCATTTTCTTTTGCAGGCCTCCTTTGCTTTTTCCTACCTGTCAAGCACAGATAATAGTACTCATCACTGCGTGACATTTACAAAATGACTAAGAGCTTCAGACAGAACAGTCACGGGATGTGCAGCTTCTGTGTTTCTCAACAATTGATATAAAAGCGTGGGTGTTTCTGGGGGAATCCCAGTTACTCCAGATGTTTCCTAAAAAGTATGTGCTGGGTTGAGTGTGTTCTCTTTTCTCAGGGACTATTCAAGGAAACAGGATTTTTGAACTGAACAAATAGAACTTCCTGATCAGTGCGGTGCTCAAAGAGGGCTGGAGTTAAGTTTCTGAGACTAACAGGGCACAGTTTCACGTGAGGAACAAATTACTTCTGCCTTCCTAACGATCCTGCCCTCCTTTCAGCGCCCCCCTCCCACCCGCCACCCCAAGACAGGGTCTTTCTGTAGCCCCAGCTGGTCTGGAACTATGTAGACTAGGCTGGCCTTGATCTCACAGAGATCCACCTGCCTCTGCTGGGATTAAACATGTGGTCCACCGTGCCTGGCTCTCTCCCACTGTTTTTGACAGTGGTTATAGTGGCCCAACTCCATCTCCATCCCCATGGTCATTCTCAGCAGTGGCCTCCTTTGGTGGGAATAAACCCTCATAGTTCACAGCCTAATTACTGAAACTACATCCTGCTTTTGCACATGAAGAACAGTACGGTGGATGAAATGCATTAATGGCTCTATTCATCCTTCCTTCAGGGATAAATACCAAGCCTAATTACCCCCTCCACCATGTGACTTTGCAGCTTCTCCAAACAATAGGATATGTATATTATATTTCCCAATTCTTGAGTCTGTGTTCAGCCATGTGACTTGTTTTGGCCAACTGGATGTTAGTAGGCATGACAGCAGCAGAGGCATGAAAAGCACTTGTCAGTTTCTGACTGTGGTCTTACTCCTCTGACATCACTAGTGAAAAGTAACCAGCTAGGCTATTGGGGGAACAGAGACACATTGAACAGTCTAGTCTCATCTAGATCAGCTGGCAGCTATACAATAAACCCCCAAGATGAGGGACAATCCCAGGCAAGATCATCAGATTTATCTAGCTGATTACCTCAGGCATGGGAGTGATCAATGCTAAGTGTTGTATTACAGCAAGGCTGGGAGTTTCACAATGCAACAGTGATCAGACAATGCATTCATGTACCGCCAAGCTCCTGATGACTGAGTAGTCAGACCTACAGCTACAGAGACTTGGAGGGCACAGTATAATAATAGTGTCATTTTTACCTTGGTGTTGTTTACCAGTGAGTTGCCACCTGGTGACTTACCACACTGATGCTTGGTGAGTTTAAGTGGTTGGTCCACATGGCATGTTAGGTTTTGGGAACTAAAAGCAACTCTCCCTTCAGAGTTCCTTTCCTGGTTTTATAAAGCCTGCTTTAGAAACCACCTCATGATTTCTACATTTCCTTGCAATTCCTGTTTATTATTACCCTAAGCACTTCCTAGTCTTATTTTGAGGTTTGCTTTTGAAAGGTTTCCTCTATTTTTTTTGTGACTACCTGCTAAAGGAAAAGTGTGTATCAGTTGTCTGAAGTAGCAAATCTCCATTTCATGAGAGACTTACAGCAGCATCCTGGATCCAGAGAGCAGGCCCCAGTGGTACTTACTGTGGATTGGTCATGTTGAATGATGCAGCCAAAGCCATGGGTGTTCTTGATGTCTAGTGGGGCTCAGGTGTCCTGAAGCCTGCTGTCAGCATGTCCAAGTGGGGGTTCTACAAGATACATGAAAATAAGAGTGCCCTGAAACAAAAAATGGGAATTTATTACTTTCAGATGCTGAACCAAATTCCTCCTAAGCTCATCTAAAAATGGGAGTGCTTGGCACTGCCTCTCGTATAGCACTTTTCTTCACAGTAATGTTCAACACATTCTTCCAATAGTGCTATGGAGTGGTAACAGCAGGTGTCATGCTTCTCTCGCCTCTCTCCCCACCCTCTAGGTTTTCTGACTCTTTACACTAAGTTGCTGTGCCCCGCAAAGCCAGAATAAATTATAGCTCCGTCTCTCTTTCCTTCTCAATTGGATCTTCAATGAGAGAGTCAACAGACAGCGGCTAAGGGGGCCTGTCCTATGGTCAGAACCTCACTCCCATCTACTCCCTGTCCTCAGTTTCCCCATGTAAAAACAAGGATAACAATATAATGAATTAATGAGGCAATGCACGATAGACACTTGGAAGAATAGTAAACAATACATTATTGTTGGCTTTTATTATTGTGACTATTTTATTTATAAATTAAAGTTGTACAGTCTGTACAACCTGAGCACATTCCAGAAAGCATTTGTATATCTAAATATAAAGCTTTCCTCTTAAGATGTGGCATAGGTCCACAGAATATGCTTTTTCTATCAACCAATGTGTCAAAAACTACTGAGGTCTTCTGGGAGATAGTACAGCCCTGCAGAGAGTACACAGGCAGACAGATGCTGCATCTGGGTGGCTTCAAACAAGTCACTAGGGAGGTGGCTTAAAGGGGTAATCCTTCTGTAAGTTGTACTCTTCCATACACTGCTGCTACTACAAGAAATCCATATAGGATAAAAACCTGCTCTCCTGATCTGAAGCTCTGCTTAGAGGGGCGAATCAACTAGGGAGACAAAGGGGGAGGTTGGATATATCACACAAAAAGAAAATAGCTTTCAGGGTGGGAAGCACTAGGAGCAGATGTTCAGTGGGCAAAGGGAGAACCTCCTATAACCCATGAGCTAAGGAAAGACAGAGCTCACTCACATGATGAGGAACCCCAGGGAGGGCTGAACTTAAGAGTAAAAGGAAACAGGAGATGAGTGCTCTCTAAAATTGGAAGGAGTTCGAACCAGCAAGCCAGGAAGCATTCTACACCAGTAGTTTGTAGGGGGTCAAAAGGTCAGAGACAATTTGGACAGGGAGAATTCAGAAGCTATCTTGCAGTCATGCCTTACTAACAGTTTTATCTTGCTTTAACAGACTTTGGTAAACAGGTCTAAAATTGAATAGAAAATTCTCCTGAACAGTATTTGGCATTATATATTAATTATATAGTAGACAATATAAAATTCACCATTCTACCATGCAGATTTAAAATCAGTTGTATTTTTTCTTCTCTTTATAAACAATCTAACAAAGTCTTTCTAGTATTGAAATTGGCCATGTGGAGTGTCTAACTTCAACTGGAAATGAAGTCAGGGTGGAGGTCCCCCAAACTAGGAGCTAGATGAGCAACAGCCCTTTCCAGAATGGGTCTTAACAAATTGCTATTCCTAAATGAATATTTGAAACACTATACAAGATATTAGCCCTGGGGAGGCTACAGTAGGAAGGTCCTCAGGCAAGTGAGCCAAGAATCTATAAACTCCAAACTTTTTGTCACCCTAACTTAAGAAGAATAAAAACTGATGAATCAATAACTATAAATAAGAAACATTAGGGCTTATGGCAATACATATAGCAAATATGCAACATAGACAAAAAAGTGGAAATAAAAAATGTGAAGAATTTTAATTTCGCTTTTAGGAAGGAAAATTTCAAATATTGTAGAGAATTATGTAATGGACCTCCAGTTCCTCATCACCCAACTTCAACAGTTATCAACTAACGACGGTCTTGTTTTCTCTATACACCCACCCATTCCCCATCCCTCATGAATATTATTAAATACGATGATGTCCTAGATACTGTCTTACTGATTTGAAAGTATTTCACTATGCAGTGCTAAAGAAGAGAAAGACTCCTTTTGGAAAGACATACCACAAAAGTATCCTCACCCTTACTTAAGTCAGTATCTTAGTAATAGTAAACACTCCTCTGCTAGTCCTGTGATTTTTAGAGGCTTATTTAAGTGAGGAGCCAAACCACATCCAAACCACGTCCACAGATTGTCTCTGGTCACCGTGATTCTTGAGTCTCATTTCATCTACAGGGTTCTCGATCTCATTTTTCCATTGGGAAAACTGGCCTTTGTTTCCCGGTCTTGGATATGATTACATCCCTTTAGTAGATAAAATTAATCAACATGTTTCTCTATTTCACATATTTCTTCAAATTTTAACTAATCTATACACTTTAACAAATTCAAGCTCACTTTTTGGAAGACTTTATGGGCAGTGCCATAATTTGTAATAGAAGACAATACCTTTTTGTTTTCCTTTTATGACATTAACATCCATTGATGACCTACTAGGTCTATTCATTCACTAGGTTTATAAAATGGTGACAGTTTAACTTTATTATTTCTTATCAATCAGTTTTTATAAGGACAAGTTTTCTCATCATCCATAATTTGATTAGACTAACATATAGTTCACACAGAGAAAGAAGGACAAATTTTGATCTTTGTATAACCTTCCCTCCTTTATTGGTTTTCAGAACAATAACTTGGTATCTCATCATCTTCCAAAGTAACTGATGAGGTGTTTGCTGTGTTCAGTAGCCTCATAGATTCATTCACACACTGTGCAGAGACTGGACAAGGAGCAGATTCCCTGACAGGTGGCAGCAGTTTCCTGGAGAGGAGATGCAGGCATGGGGAAGGGATGTCAGCTTCTTAAAACAGGGGCAGAAGGCAGGAAGGAGGTGAAGACATATGGATTAAGCCCTATTTAGATGGACAGTGAATAGATGCTGGATCTGGAGCTTTTGAACCTTAACAGCAACACATTCTAGAAGGCCAACTGCCTTAAGATGATGGGAACACTTTGTCTGGCTGTTCTTAAAAATATTTTCCAAACAAAACCACCCCCAAAGCACAAGCCTAGCACCAGGCAGGTGTAGTCTAGCACTCTATAAATGAGCATCTCAAGTGCAAACCTGCTGCCTCAAGAACCTGGTAAAAGTAGATGAGAAAACCTGGTTTGGATTTACTGGGTCTGGCTCGAGTGAGTGGTGAGGCTGCTTCTTCAAAGTCAGTAAAATTCTAGACTCAGTCCCATGTTATTTACTAACATCATGTTTGCTTACTGCAGATCCTTAGAATTTTAGGCTTTAAAAAGACTGCTAATGCCAATTAATTTCTTACCTACCAAGGGAAAAAAAAGCCACAATTCAGCTCTCCTGTCCCTGGACACCCCTAGGTTCGTTCATTCCTCATCCTTACCGCATGTGACAATGCCTTCCTTGGCTGCCTTCATACCTATTTCACTGATTCTCACATCTAGTTTTACCCCAGTCTGTTGGGAAATATGAATTCATGGGCTACTCTACAGAAATGTCAATCAGAACTCTGCAGGGGATGATGATAAGCTTGTTAAGTGTTCCATGTGTTTACAACATACAGCCTCTCAATGTGATCCCTTAGGTCAGTGGTTCTCAAACCTTCTCCAGTACTAGATTCCCCTGGGGACTTACAAAGCCCAGATTGCTACTAGGTCCACTGGTGACATTTCTAATTCAGTATAGTGAGGGTAGGGGCCTGAAAGTTGAATTTCTAACAAATTTCTGTTGGACATTGACCTTCTAATGCACAGACTGCACTCTGATCTGAATCTGTAACTTTGCTTGAGGTGAACTAGGTATTTTTCCTTTTCAGGTGAAGTTAACTGACTGCCAAGCCCTCTGGTGGAATTATCAGCAGTGCCTTCTCTGGCAGGCTCTAGAACCAGAGAGATGGTGTCAGGAATGCTGTTTGCAAGTAGAAGGGGCACAGAGAGTTGTTAGCATCTTTCCTGGAGGAAGATGTCAATGGCACCAAGGGGCCTAGATTTCAAAACCAGATTGGTCAATACAGTGAGACTCCATATTAAAAATAAAAGCAAAAGATGTTGATATATGTGTACATTATGAAATGAATATCACAAACAAGTTAATCATCAACTCTGTAGCCTCACATAATCATCTTTATTGCTGTTATTTTGTTCTTTACGAGAACATTTGTGATCTCTCTTAGCAAATTTCAAATATATAATCCATTGTCATTAATCATTATTGGTCATCGTGGTTTATATTACATCTCCAATATTTATTTTTCTTACAACTAAAGGTTTTTACTGTTTGACCAATATCTCTGCTTTTCTCTCATCTCACAGTCCCTGGTAGCCACCATTTAGGTCTCTGTTACCATAAGTTTAACTTATTGTTTTTTAGATTGTGCATATAAGTGAGGTCATGTACTATAGTCTTTTTATGTTTTTTTATGTCTGGTTTATTTCATTCCACATAATGCCTTCAAGGTTCATCCATCATGTTGCAAATGGAAGATTTTATTCTTTTAAAAAGTTGAATAACATTCTCTCTGTCTCTATGTCTCTCTCTCACCTCTCTCTAATGTTTCCTTCATCCATTCATCTGTCAATGGAGACTGTTAAGTTGGATTAAAAAATTTTTTTTCCTATAATCCCAACTAAACTGGAACTCACTATGTAGACCAAGCTGACTTGATCTCACAGAGATCTGCTTGTCTTCCTCCCAGCTGCTGTGATTAAAAGTGTGCATCACCATGCCTGGCTACATTTTGGGGGGATTTATTTATTCTTATTTTATGTATATGAGTGTTTTGCCTGCATGTACGTAAGTGCATCCATGCATGCAATGCTTGTGGAGGCCAGAAGAGAATGTTAGGTCCTCTGGAACTGGGGTAATGGATGGGCTGCCGTATGGGTAATGGGAAATGAATCCCAGCAGTCCTCTGCAAGAGCAGTCAGTGCTCTTAACTGCTCAGTCATCATTTCTCCAGCCCTAGTTTGGATCTTTTTAAGTGACCTCTAAGGGCCACATGTTAATAAGCTTGATCACCAGGGTGGTACTACTGGGAAATGATGGAATCTTT